TTATCGCACGTCGGTAATCTTCATCTGTTGGCATCAAAGAAGCCATAACAGCTCCAGTTTCAATAGCAAGTATAATATTCGATCGATTTTCAATCAAATCAATATCGAAAAGAATATCTCTATCTAAATGAGTATTTTCTTGAGCGAATTCAATGACATACGCATCAAGCTGACTGATCATCAAATTGAATCGGACCCGTTTAACTGCAACTTTCTTCAGTTGACAACGACGTTTGATTGTGTACGGAGATCACTGAACGTATTTGGATGTGGTGGCAGCCGATGAACTGACGTCGCCTTTGTCCATGTTATAACGAGGAGCAATGATGGTCGGAACAACAAAGCGAAGTTTGCGACCATTTTGTACAAAATCTAGTTCAGAGATACACGAGATTGAAATACGACATTCTTTGCCTTGTGGTAGTGCACCCACATTTATCATACAATTATCTTGTGATTTTTCATTCCGTTCGAGTAAATAGGCACCGTGGCCTTGTCGAAGAGAATCATCATATTTTTGTTGAGCCTTTTTTTTTCTTCCAATTCAGCGTCAATTTCTCGATCATCAATCCGAGAAGTAAATGTATAGATAGCTGCTTGTTCGTGGATTGGAAAACAGTAAATAGCTTCGATGGGTTGCGTCTCATCGTTGCGAAAAACTTCTTTGATAGGCACATTGGCAGTAACAGATCGTATAGTTGCTTCGACATTTACTTGGTTGAGTAGTACGTATTGTTTCTGTTCTTCCCGTGACTGTTGATTTGATCCATAGGCGACCAGTATTGAACAACTTAAAATAAGTATTTTATCGATGAGTATTAATATGGACACAAAAGGTGTTGGGAGCAAGAGCCAATATTAATCAAAATCGAAACAAAAGAATATACGTGAATCATAAACGAAGAAATAAGCTATAGAACCAGAAGAAGCACAATAAAAAGATCTGTAACCATTGATACGATTCTGAGTTATCAAGAAAAGAAAAGGAAAATCACTTGAGAAGCACTACTTGATATCGTTAATATATCCCTTGATAACTAATGTAATTTCATAATCACATGAAAGTTTCAAAGATGATGAAGCATAATAAAAACAGTGTTGTTTACGAGCGAATTTGCATTTGTGTAGAATCAATTATGACTAATTTGGACAGTTATGACTGTCAAAGAAATCATAGTTGAGAATAGGATATTGATGAAATAACATTGATATTTAAAAGCAATAATTTTGATCATATCCTACTGAAGAATGTATGATATAGTTACTAGTAGCTTAGCTAGTACAGCACACTTTAGTGACCATGTATATGAATACTTGGACAATCGATTTTTCTGGAGTAAAAAACAAACAACAATGTCACATCTGTAACTATGAAGATGAATTCTTCGACATTTGTGGGACTTTCTAACAGTGCTTCTTTTTGCCAACAGATACAGCAACTATTCAAGAATATTAATTCCATTAATTGAAGATTCTTTGAAACTTGAAGAATCTTTTTTTTAATGTGAAAAGTAACTTTATAAAATAAAGCAATATATCCGAAAAGTATCTATATTAATAGTACACTTCATACTCTCGCTAGATAGTATAGAGTTTTAGCTATTTCAAATACTTCTCAGACTGTTACAACGTCGTAGAAAAGTCAAAAAGTTTTTTTTTTCTATTCAAGAATGTTTTCAGGAAAAAACACAATTCCAAGCAACAAACTCACTATTAAGAAAAAGCCAATAGCCCACATCTCATATTTCTATAAATAAATTTCGTTTAATCTTGATAACGTTTCATGCAAATGCAAATGAATGTTTTAGAGGGAAATATGACTAAAATATCACGCATATGTATGTTGACATTAAGCCGAACCCATTCGTAGGATACGGCTTCGTGTGAATATTACATGTTTTACATAAAAATAAAATAAATATTTTTGATGCCAGTTTTCAATTCATCAGACCTCAGCGGTTTGAATTAGGATATGAATCAAATACTTTTCAGCGGCAGTTGGCTGTATGTTGTTTTTATAGGACTTTCAATAGGACAGTTTCTTTCACTTGTTAGCAATTGATAATTGTAGCAATGTTAATTTTTAAAAGTCGATTTGCAGGCCCCAATTGACAATGCTCTTTTCCGAATCAACAATATTAAGAAAATTTTAATAATCCATGACGCTGTTTATCATAGGACCCTATCAATAAAGTGGTACAATGCTGCTTTTGTCATACATGAAGAAAAAGAATATCAGAAGACTTTCATCAATCTTAAGAAAACATACAGTTTTCACAAGTATTTTCTATTCATACACGCAAATAAAACAATGAAAATCGTTTAGAAATTCGTTTTTTTAATTTTGAAACATTTTTCGAGCAGCTCACATATATTCTTTCTATTTAGAACGATACAGTAAAAGACCAACCCTAAGAAAGATGAGTTTTAGAGACAGCATCATGCAAAAAATATCATGAAGTGATAGTGAAAATTCATTCTTGCATATAAATATCTAATATGACAGTCTAGCGCTGCCTAATTAGTCATGGCATGCACACATAAAAAATCCGTTACATAAAAATCTATGCTTAAATGAATTATGTCCTGATTGATTCCACTATGCTGAGCATGTAATTGAGAAGAATCCTTGACGTCTAACGTGCACATCCGAAGAATATCAGCGAAATGAAGCATTATCATACTGAGAGACGGTGTGAAAAGCGGAGTCTCTGTTCACTATGGATGAGTCGATTTTATTCGTATCTCAAACAATTGTATGCACTGCTCGATAATTGATACTATATGCTAGTTATATCTGTCTCATTGGTGGATTTATAGGCAATATATTCAATATTATTATCTTCGTATTTTTGAAAGTATTCCGCGGCAACCAATCTGCTTTCTATCTGGTGGTGGAATTCGTCACGAACTGTGGCGTTTTACTGAATGTCTTCATAGCACGTATCCTTTTGTATGGGTTCAATGTCGTTCTGACGACTCAATCATCTATCATGTGCAAACTTCGATCAGCACTGCTTCAAATATGCGTATTGACTTCTTTGACGACGATTTGTTTCGGAGCCATCGACCAATATCTAGCGACCGTTCATAAATTTTCACTTTGTCAACTGAGTACACTGAAATTAGCTCAACGTCTCACATTTATCAATGCTGTTCTTTGACTTCTGCACAGTATTCCATTTGCAATCTTCTACGAAATACTTCCCTCGATGGGTTGTGATATTTCGAACAAAGCTTTTCAATTATACTTTTCCGTCGTTTATCTATCGTTCCTTAACAGTATATTGCCACTGCTGGTGTCCTCGATATTCATTGTGCTTGCTTATCGAAATGTGCGTCACATTATACGACGTCAAGTGCCTATTATTCGACGACGGCTTGATCGACAATTGACAGCCATCGTTCTCGCTCATGTTGTATTTCTCATTTCAGTATCCATTCCTTACGGTATTTATTTGCTCTATGCAATCAATGTATCACAAACCACGGAAAACTTGCTTGTGTCAGCCATCGATCGACTCAGTTCAGCTATCACTAGTTCTTTGTTTTATCTGAATTATGCTGTAAGTAACTATCTTGTCAATAGTATGCTAATCCAACGGTCGATTAATTTCAGAGCTCATTTTATTTGTTCCTATTAATATCGCGACGATTTTGCAGTCAAGTTAGACTTACTTTGGTGAGAATATTTTGGCAAAATCATTGTGGAAACAGACATAATGATTTGGTAGCACATGGTAATCCAGTCAGCCCAATATCAATTGTCTCTGATCAAGACTGAATCGAATATGCAAAAGAAAAATATTTTCTTCTATTTTAGGACAACGAAAATAAGTCTGTTGCATTAAAATGCAATCTGTCCTTTTCTTTTCAAAAAAAGAGGTTCAATTCTAAGCTTGATCATTACTCAACAAAAGATTACGATTGAAGACTTTAAAATCCTTGAGTTGTAACCTTAATTCATGAGTGTTGTCGGATATTGATGAAATCCGTTCATAATTTGAATAAGGACTGATTGAGAATAAACATTTCGTAGACACATTTCATTTAACTAGCATTGTATTCTGACTGTTTTGTTAATGAAAATTCTCTGATACCTTAAATAACTTAGAAATATTCTCAATCCAAAAACCAAATGCGTTAAATATTTTGAACGAAATTAAAATCGTACGAAAGATACATTTTTACAAATTTGTTTTCGTTAAAATTTCGACATATTTTCGTTACTTGTCTTGTTAGATCGTCGAAAAATAAATATAAAGACATCATCAATATATTTTAAAGACTCGAAGCAACCGTGCATGATCGTTCTGTCTATTTATCATAATTGGTATGTGGCTAGTGTACATAAGGAAATAAACAACTGGGCGAAATAAAGAAAAATTAAAAATATTGTTTGCATTGTTTCAAGTATTGACGTTCTCCTTCCACGCATTCCTATCTTTTTTGCTTCAAAGCAAATTATCATTTATCAACACGAATTCTGCTTCCCATTTTATTCATTCTATATGATTGCATCATCCTTTACTGCATCAAATGTTTCATGGAGAAATGACAATTTATGTCCCATTTCTAAATATAACTTTTCTTGCTCGAGAAAAGGTGAGAAAAAACGCTATTGCAGAATGACTGGACTAGTATAAGTGCGATAAAACCGTTTCAATCTGTATAATCAACAAAATCGATGCATATTGGTTCTTCAGCTCCACTTGTTCTTTTTCTGCTCTTGACCAGTCCTGTTTCGAATATATTAGAAAGGAAGAGCATCGACATACATCCACATTTACAACCTACTCACACATCGCACTCTATATGTCTAGTGCTGAAAAATCACTATATATTGATATGATACTCTTCTTGTTGTTGAAAAGTAAAGATTCCAATAGATAAATCAAATATGCTATCTTTCGAGCAAAGAACGATGAACCCAAAATATTTCGATGATTTCCATAAAAAAAAAAGAAACGATATAGTTCATGTGTCAACGAAGAGCATGTTCAAAACTTTTGTCTTTGTCGATTGGCCAATATATAATTGGTATGGTGATCAATTAATTGTCGTGTTTTTTTTCGAGTTTTTCCCATAATCATAATTTCAAAATCAAAATTCAACGTAAATATAAATATGCTATCCGGGCATAGTTTTAATTCACTGTAATCGTCGGTTACATTAGTAGTAAGTACTTTATATCCTTGTCCTTCGACATATTTTCCACTAAATTCACCTGTTGTATAGATGAACTGCTGTATTGTGGGAGTAGCTCTTCTAACATAAATGATAGACTCTTGATTATACTTGTGACCCAATTGAATGAATATGGCACGTTCCATATCCGGTGAAACATTGTGTAGAATAACGAAGAAACTTGTTTCATTATCGCCATTATAGACACCCATCATAGATGAATAAGCATATAAATTAGTTAAATCAATGGTCAAATTAACAGTTCGTTCTTGAATGGTTGCATCACTCAAATTGTGATCACTTGGCATCTTATTATTGCGTCCTGCACTTATCAGGACATAACCACCTTCGCTGAGTAATCGTTCTACTGCTGATTGAGAATATGTCATTGGATTTATTATGGATGTCCATGTACCTTTACTTAGAAAGAAATCAAAGAAAAATACTTTTAATAACTAAATATTCATTTATATAAATCAATTAACGTGAAGTATCACGCAAATCTGCAAGACTAATACGAAAAAAACATGGTGAAAACGATAGTCGAAACTGTAAATCGATAATTCAGTAGTGGGAGGAAAATTTTTCACACTAATACATTGAGGAATAAAAGTCGCAAATGGTGATTTCATATACTAAGTTACGCCAGAAATTTAGATGTCGATCAGAGATAAAGTTGCATATGATCAAAGCTAGATACATATGAAATAGAATGAAATAACCAAGACTAATGTCATTTGTTTGAAACTTCTCCAATTTCTCTAGTAAAGTTCATTGGTTCTTTTTGTTATTATGCGTAGTTAATTCTGACAGTTTTGGTATGAAATTTGAATCCGTCTTATGCTGTTCAGTCTTTTTCTACAATGGAAAAAATCATTGCAAATTGGCACTCAATAAATCGTTCAGACACTTAACGTACTATGACCTCCGAGTCGATTTCTATAAAATACATATTCACGACTTATTTCTCTAGCATAGATATGCATATAAGTTTTCAAATTCTAGTTTTATGTGTTGGTCAGAATAGTCTTTTATTTTTGGTAACCAGGACGGTCATTCCTTCAATGAAAAAAACATCTCATGAAATACGTTGAAGACTAATGTACAATAAATGTTTACTGCTACGCATCACGCCAAATTCTGGTTGCGTCACTGATTTCATCGACCTACATGTACTTCTTTATAACAACATTTTCTTAATATTTTTTTATCTGTCAAGTGTTCTTTTGGTGCTTATTACTTTGATGGTGTTAATGTATCAATTGAATGAGAAGAAAATGAATTTTTAGATAAAAACTAAGCCACATTATTCAAATTTTCTATACTCCTTTTAATACTTTTGTCAGTTTGTTTCGTCTGTTGTCGTTCTTTGCCATATAAAACACTCAAAGTTATTGTAGAAGTTAAGAGAAGGACAAATATAATAATCCCCGATATAATAATCTTGCCATTGATCTCCATTAACTTATCACTCGTAGAAAAGATCTAAAAACTAACACCAACAATAAATAATTGAATAGAAGATAATAGTTCTTAATGACAAAAGAATATGAAGACACATAGTCTATTGTTTCAAACTCTAGTCATTTTAAAAAAAAAGAAATGATATCGTCACTCAGCTTACGTCATTGGAAAGAATGAAAGCGTACTGAGATCCCAGGAACGTATATAAAACGAAAAAATAATAGAACAAAAATACGAAAGATCATTTTAAATTTCTTGAAATGAAAATGTCAATTCAATGTCCTGTCTTACTGTTTACCTCAGTTCTATTTTAGAGGAAAACAAATAAGAGTTCAACAAAAGTAAAATAAAAGTGGCACAATATATTATTCAAAATAAATGGAACTAAAATCTGAAGAAATTTTAAGCTATTCCTGACGGTTCGTCAACACATAACTTAGATAACAAGATGAAATCTTTCTAGGGTGTCTATAAGAAGAGAATAAAGACGCACATCTACTGAATAGCTAAACAAAACACTCACATGACCAGGTATCTATTCAAAATGAAAGTATAAATGCTTTACCAAAACAGAACAGAAAAAAAGACACATGACACAGCAGATGGCTATCTTATTGGACAATAGCAACTTTGAATGAACTAATGGAATTGCATGTATTTCTGAGTGACGAATATTAGTGTGTGGTTGAAGTCAGTGTATATTCTGTATAATGGTTATTCATCATATTTTCTCTGGAGTACATCGCCTCGAACAGAAATAAGCAATTATTTTTCGTCTACTTGGAATGAAATCGAGCAACTATCTCAAACCTATTCATTCGTACTGACTGCCGTCTAAAATCATCTCGCTAGTACAGCTGAGTGAGGAGAAAACTCGATTGATTTAAAGCTATTATAGTTAGTCAACATCAAAGCCGACGAAGAATGATAATATAATTGAAGACTTTCTATTCATGCTCGAATGAATAATGACACAAACTAATTGCATCGCCTTTGTCCACTGAGTTACTGGAGAGTTTAATGTCAATATTGAAATCAATGTGTAAGTTTTACAGTTCAAATATGAACAATAGCATATTGACTTGGTTGGTTTGTTTTCTTTATTTTTCTAATTGTTAGTGACAGAAATATTGAAACACATGATTATATTCAATATCTACCTATTTTAGATGACTACATGAAATTTAATATCTATTTACTCTATTTTATTCGACCTAAAGATTCATCAAAGAATCATTCAGTACAAATCGATACATTCAACAAATATATCATTTTAATAAACATAATGGACAACCAATCAAGAGTATTATTTTCATGAGACTAGTTTTTAATGTGCAAGATGTGAACCTAAGCTGATTTTGACGGTTGCTGATTGTATGACTAGATAATAAACTGGAAGAACAAGTCTCATCCGAATATATCAGACCTATTTATATTAAAATGATGCATCGAACATCGTTTATTACTAGAAGTACAAAAATGCCTTATTGCTGAATTCCATTATATTCATATTTAATTTCATATTTTGTTCGAGGTTGAATAGCTGACTTGGTGATGTCTCTTCCGTCGAAATATAATTAAATAGTTAGTTCACACTATTAGGTTATTTATGCGACGTGTTGATTTTAAATTAGTTTATATCTTGTTCATTTACCGATTATTTGAATAACATAATGGAACGATTTTAACATGAAATAATAATTCACATGATGCAGTTTATTCAAAATGTATTATTATATATGTTCAAACAAGAAGAATAGGTAGGTTGTTTAAAATGTTTTTCTTTTCAATTGCGAAGTATTATAGAAATAGAAAAGTGCCATACTAGCTGTTACCTAAAACTAGAAAATTTGTCGATATATTCACCTTATTTTTTTTTAGCTTTATTTCCTTCAGGAGAATGATGGTCTTATTTTACAGCTTGTCAAGTGACTTCGTTGTCTGACGATAGAGATTTCACGTGCTGTTATGGCTAAAATGGTGTAATACTTGGGGATGTCTACTTGGTTCGTATGGTATCGAACGCCGCTGTCTACGTCATACATGTATTCATGCTTGAATCACTCTGGTGCATTCATATCTACGTCTTCCTTTCACATAGTCATGGAATTTTTCTGATTGTGCATAGAATAAAGAACTGAGAAATCGAAAGAGTGAGATGGATTCAGAAAGAATTTGTTGAGCAAACGGAAAACAAACCAATAGCTTCCTTTTTTGCACATTTAATATTATCTATCGTTCGTTTAATGAGTGGATGCGTCGGTGGAAGTGTTTTTTGTAGAATAACAAGTGCTTTTTCTAAAAATTCAACTCCTTTCGAGTGGTCACCCATTTTGCAATACACGGAACCGATGTTGCTGAGGGACGTAACCAAACTCGGATGATTTGGCGTAAGAGCTTTTTCAAAGATTTTATGAGCTTCTTCGTAAAATTCAAGTGCTTTCGAATAGTCGCCCATATCGTTATAGACTTGACCGATGTTACTGTAAGAAGTAGCCAAGTTCGGATGGTTAAGAGGAAGGACCTTTTCGAAGATTTTGTGTGCTTCTTCGTAAAATTCAAGCGCTTTCGAGTAGTTACCCATGTTTTTGTACACTTGACCGATGTTGCTACAGGAAGTCGCGAAATCGGGATGATTTGAAGGAAGAGCTTTCTTCGTGATTTCCAAATCTTTTTCGTAAAATTCAAGTGCTTTTGAATAGTCGTTCATGTGGCTATACACTTAACCGATGTTGCTGTAGGAAGTAGCTAAATTCGGATGGTTAGGGGGAAGAAATTTTTCGAAGATTTGATGTGCTTTTCTATGAAAGTGAAGTGCTTTCGCGTAGTCACCCATATTTTTGTACACTTGACCAATGCTGCTGCAGGAAGTAGCCAGCGCGGGATAATCTGGATGCTGAGATTTTCCATAGATTTCTAGTGCTTTTTTGTAAAATTCAAGTGCTTTTGAATAGTGACTCATTTTGTTATACACTTGACCAATGTTACTGTAAGTAGGAGCCAATGAAGAATGATCTTGTGAAAGACTTTCTCGGTTGATTTCGAGAGATTTTTCGTAAAATGAAGCTGCTTCTTTGTACAGTCCTTGGTCGTCTTTCACCCATCCAAGTTGGTTATAAATATACGCTTTATCAGTGTTGGTGTAGGAGTTCTTCAATAATTCATTGTAGAGTTCTTCAGCTTGATTAAAGTGGCCCACTATAAGCATCAAGTGACCCATTCGATACCATCCAGTAGATCCTTGAGTTTCCTCTCGCATGCGGTGAATGAGAGCAGCTAGTTGTGGGTCTTTGTCGTTGGTGAGAGTCAATTCTACTTCCCATAGACGATTATTTTTGAGCATTTGTTTCGTTTCTGTCACGCGAAAAACAGTGTGCATTGAGAAGAGAATTTCTTGTTCTTGTGGAATAGCACTGTACTCATCGATAAGGGCGAACGGAGTAGTGGAAGCCAATACTCTTTTTGGATCGATTGTCATAACAAAGAGAACACCCACATGATCTTCATATTTGTGTAGTACACGTTCAACAAATTTCATAGCTACTTGCTTTTTTGTACTAGTTGACAAAAAATTATTGAACGAAAGGAGTCCACCTTTTGTATCGATTAGATGTTCAAAATCCTCTTTGGTGAGTCCCTGGCCACGATAAACGATAAATTGTGTCTTATATGTGCTCGATTGTTTTTTATGTAGTTGATCCAGTTGTCGGTGAAGATTTCGGATGAAGAAGCCCATTTTTGCCATAACTTCCATATCAAGTGAACGTAAGGCTCTGTTGAGCATGCCGTATAGGAAAATTTCACGAGTATACCACCAGATTGGTGATCTCTGGTGATATTTACGCTGGAAATCTTCTATTTCAGCCTCGTGAATACCTTTTTTACGACAGTAGACAGAAAGATCTTTTACCGCCTTGGTATCATCTTCACTGATTTCCAATACAATTTCTTTGAACAATACTGAATACATAAATGATGGTTCTAGTTGATCGAGATGTTGTTGATCCGATACTGCTGTTGCTGCCTCATCTGCCATGATCCGCTTCGGGACGAAACTCATTGGAATCGCATCGTGGTCGCAGTCATGGGCGACCTTTTTTAATGACTCACAGATAGATGTAATTTCAGTGAACACACCTTCGATTTTTGGCCATTCTTTTGCCCATTGTTCGTGTCGTGCTTTGTTTCGACAAAAGATGTAAATAGCATCCACGTGTGTCATTCCGTGAATATCACTCACCAGATGCTGTCCTAATGCACCAGAGGAGATGACAAAAGCTTTCTCATCATCCATATCATTAAGGATTTCAATACATTGTGTCGGTGTCGTGCAAAGATTAACCTCGTTGACGACGCTACGCAAGTGTGCGAGCGTATTTTGACAATCTTGACTTTTTTGATCAATATTGCAATCGACCCAGATGAGCAAATAATTTTGAATACGACGCTGTTTTGGTTGAGTAGTATTTAAGGCTACTGCTGTAATCGCAGCAGCGTCCATGGTTGATGTGGAACTTTGTTGTTTCGATTTTTGCCCACCCATATCGAATGCGAATCGTTAGTTGATCGTTAATCAAGAATGGTGAATAGTTGTTTATCGTTTAGAAAGAGATCACTTTTTCTTCTCATATAGTCGATGCCTTTTGTTTTTTTTCTAGATTTTCCAGCGACGCCAATTGTGATTTTTTTTGTTGACTCTAAGCGACGATTTTTACGTAGCTTTAATTGAAAATATTGTTGCGAGCAACAAACATAGGAGAAAAGGTCGAACCACGTGTTTTTTTTGTTCTGTTATACGGTCAAACTTTTCGTTTTCTTTTCAGCTACATGATGACTTGAATGTCGTTATGTTGAAGACTTTGTCTTATTGATAGTTTAATTTTCTTTCATTCTTTCAAAATGACTTCTTTCTCATTCTGCTGAGAATAAAAAAAACAATGAAAACATTATGAGATCGATCTTGTATCGTCATGCATAGTCGTTAACATGCTGATAATGTTAAAAGGCAATAAAATTACGAATAAATTTCATTATTATTGAAGCGTATAACATTCGAAAAACGTTTTTTCCTTGCCAAATATATTGCTGATAATCAAGAAATTAGTTTAGGTAAAACAACCTAATAAGATCATGTTTCACCATCAGATAACATGTTTAACACAAATCGCAGCGAAACCACCATGGCTCATCATACACAAGATCATAGTAGCCTTCATTTCGTTCGTCTTTTTGACTAGTTTACGTCATTGTTTCGTTACTCAGTTTCTTCGCTAGTTCGTTTCATTAAATATCTGCATATTCCTGTGGCTGTAGACGTTAATGTAGCTGTTGACATTCGTGTTGCCTCCATACCTACATTAGATGCAATATGCTGTTTATGTCAACGTCTGTGTTCGAGTTTCTTCGGCAACAACAGTAATTGCCATATATGGTGTGGGTGCTCTCCCTCCAGCGCTAACATTCACGCTCACTCACACCTACACCAGCGAAATTTGTTCGTTTTCTTTATTTCTCTAATTGGTAGTGACAGAAATATAGAAAGACGTGATCATATTGAATATTTACCTATTTCAGATGATTACATGAAATTCAATATCTACGTTCTCTATTCTATTCGACCTAAAAACTCATCAAAGAATTATAAAAGAAACAAGTCAATGGTTGTCCGAATGATAGATGTACACGCCTCGTTTCGACTAGCAAGCTTTGTTTGATGAAATTACAAATGCATTCGCGCATTGACCATGACCCCAATGTTTATTCAGTCGAGTTGAACTCATATGTTACAATATTCTCTGATGATATCTTCGAAGAACAACCATCTAATCTTGACTCATTTCGCACGAACTTTTAGTTCGAAGACAAAAGCAGTTTGTTACATGCGATCAAAAGTTGAACAGTGATTCTTCAACGTTCTATTCGATTTGCTCTTCTCTCATCGTCTGTCTATTTCATGTAATGATTAGAATCCTGGTATTAGAATTAACCGCATCAGAGCCAGCATCATTTTATCATGTTCATCGGTTAATAATTAATCATTAGTATTTAAAACATCCGCTTTGACATCGGTAAACTCATATCGAATTATATTTGTCACAAGTTACTACTACGTTTCTCAGTGTTCATTATGACACGTACATTCGTTCCGAGTAAAGTAGAAATTCGTCTCACGAATACATAGAATATTTTTACACAGTTTGTCATGTTTGCATTGGCTGCTGATCTTTGATGTTGATCTCAAGTATCTTTTTCTTCACGAGGGGCCTCATATCGTTGATTTGGAGATTGAAAATGACTTCGAGACTATACTTCATGTGTCATATTCAACTGATATTGCTGCATTTTGCGTTTACTTATTCATATCGTACGTCTCGACATCTACTCATCATTTGTTACTGATGTACCATAACTTCTCAATAAAATAAAGAAGACATTAACAGACATAAGACTTAGATAACAACACAAAATCAATACTAAACAACTAAGAACACGTGAATAAATGGAACGAAATATAGAACTACAAAATGTTCACTACGAATTTGATTATCGGAATTATGTCATCTTGTGACTCGGATGTATTTGTCGTAGACACATTTTAATTATTGCTTTTTTTTATTGTGTCTATGATATTTATTTTGTAAGAAAAGACAAATATTTGAATAAACAGCTTACTCATTCACACATGATACTATGATTTGCTTTGGTACGAACGTTATACTAGAATGTTTTTGGAGCACAAATGGCAAAAATACATAGAAGCGATTAAAAGGGAGTTTGACGTTTCGTCGCTACTTTTCATTCCGAACATCCGATGTCGAAGTCCGTTCCGAACATCCGTTTTCTTCAAAAAATCCTCATTTTTATGATAAAATATCGGATGTTCGTAAATTTTTTTAACGGGTGTTCGGAACGGCAACGACACGCACATTTCTGTTGAAGAACTGGATAATTTTAACGGATGTTTGTAAAAAAAAACTACTGGATGTTCGTAATGAAAATATAGGGATGTTCGGAACAATAACAAACGGATGTTCGTAAAAATTTACACGGGAGTTCGAAATAGAAAAGAAGGGATGTTTGGAACCGAAATGTGCTTCTTTTATTAGTGCAGCACTTTAGTTCCAGTTGACCTATGTTCTGAATGGTCTTCCTGCCACAGCACAGTACACAATATGTTAGACATATAGTCACAGATGTAAAGTGTGTACTGAAATACAAACTTCTATTCACTCTTATTCGAGGGTGGTTCGGCAAGGAATATTTTGCTATCAAAACTCCCTGGCCTCTCCACTTGCTTCATCTTTTCATTATGAGAAATAAATGTGGTTTATTGAACAAAGAACAATATTCATAGATAGGAATTCGAACTCTTAAGAAGCACAATGGCACAGGGATAGAGAGACATTTCAATAATAAATAAATAACAAAAATGGTGTGGGTGTGCTGAGAAGATTTACCCCCACCCCCACACACCTACAGCCACCCACACCCCACCCACACCCTCATTCACACCCACAGCCGACATTGGCCTAGGCGAATCTGAGATTGGCCTGAATCCGAGATTGGACGCTAACATATATATGT